AGAGAAGGTTCTGTTATTTATCATAGGATAGGATAAAACCAGAAGGCAATTATTTTTATTTTTGTTTTGGGGCTTGCTTTGACTGAAACCAACATAAACTTGCTGCCATTTAATAAAAGGGTTGGATTAGTACAGCGTAGTCTAATCTTACTTTACAGTCACTTCTGTACCTGGCATAGATGTCCTCTGGTGGCACAAGCTGCTGGGCCAAGGGCAGCTGGTAGAGGTACAGGGCCAGTAGGTGTCCTCCACTGAAGATGGTCATCATCACACACAGAGAGCTGAACAGGAGCAGGTTGATGGAGCGGCCGAACACCCACCACCAAACCAGACCGAGAAACACCAAGAAATACACACTTGAGGTGAGGGACGGCATGATGATACCTGTACACACACATAGACACACACACAACACAGTGTGGCAAGATAAGAGGAAAAAGTAAGTAAAACTGTATGGACACTGTGCAAATATAACACACCTGTGTGCACACAAGATGCTGTAAGTACCTGCCAGCCCCAGCAGAAGGGTCACCACCACCTTCCCTGCTGTGTTCATGATTGTGGACAGCAGCATCCTCAGTCCAGCAGCAAACACTATCAGCTTTTGGACAAACTGGGGCGGACCCGACTGAACTGGCACTGTAGTCTCATCCGAGCTATCAAAGGATGAGCCCTCTGTGTCACTTTCTACCTCAGACTCTGTTTCAGATGTTTCCACTTCCTGCCAGACCGATGAAACACTGACATCACTGTTGGGTTCTTCAAAGAGCATAAGGTTATAGTGGTTGATATGTGTGCCTGTGATTACCTCAGGGTCAGATGGTGGTATTCCATTTTCATGTAGGCTGACTTGGGGCACAGAGCGCAGTAGTTTTTTGCAAAGCCTCAGTAAGAAGAGGCAAGATAATAAGAGGCTCACATCTGGGGCCAAGAGACGCACAACATTCCCAGGATCTACTGAGCTAAATCTGGAAACACAAGCAGTATCACAAGGTTGATCTCTGATTTCCATTCATATTGGACAGGTATGAAAATCTATTTGCTCAGACTAGCTTGAGATGGATTATTTCATTGTGACAGAGATTTAGTTGCCTTTATTTTTTGTCACCATTAAAATGTCAGTTGTTTTAGCACAAAGCAGGTTAAATGTTATTTATGACAATATGAATATCAAATTTCAACCTACAGTAAATTAATTGTTATCAGCGTTGTAGTATGCTGAACTTGGACACAAGTCTGGCTCGAGTTTCAGGACTTGTGACTCGTTGAACTTGGGAACCTGAGACTCAACTCGGACTTGAGATATAGTGACGCCGCTACAATAATGATTATTGTACTGCTCTGAAATTTACAGAAGTAATTTACTCTTATTCTTTGGGAAATGGTCAGTAGTAATGTAAAGTAGTTGGAATGTTAAGCTTTTGGACATAAAATGCATAACCATTGATATGTAAATAAGAAAATACATAAATAAAATGTGTACCATACCTTACAATGCCCATGTGGTAGAGGAAGTCTTCCCAGTGGCCACTAACTGTTAAAAAAATACATGGTCATCAAGCTGAGGACAAAGTTGCTTTTTTAGCTCCTTAATATTTTACATTTACATATGACAAACATCATTAGTTACAAATAGCAGTGTGTGTATTTCTTTGTCATTTTTCACAGTCAGCCAGTGTTTCTAATTTACATGGAAGTATGCTCAAAAGACTGGTGATATTTTATTTTACAAATGTCACATGTCACAAGTTTGTTTTTACCATGCGGAGGGATGTAGGCGAAGGGGATCTGCATGAAGCACTGCAGGGTCAGAAAGATCAAGCTAGTATAGATGATAAACCGCAGGAACTGACCTGTTTTACCTAAACAGAGTAGCAAACAGTAGCAGAAACCAGGATGAAACAAAAGTGAACAAATGCATTTCATAATCACGGAATATGCTGAATTCAGAACAAATTATTTAGAGACCGGTGATAAATTAAAGAAAAAACTAACATAAAGTGAACAAGATAGAATTTATAATAAAGTGTCTCCTGAGCAGCTCCCGTGCTAATTTATTATATAACTTTAGTTACTAGTTACTTTTCAGAACCAGATTAATACAAAAATACCCTGGTGGGAAATTGATAAGCTACCCATCAGTAATGCAAATTAAAAGCATATAAGGTTGAAATGAAATGTGATGTACACAAAAATTCAGGACTTTTACTTGTAACAGAGTAGTTTTACACAGTTATATTGCTGCTTTTACTTAAGTAAACAATTTCAGTATTTTTTATATATAACCTAGAGCTGCAACCATTAGTCATTTCATTAATGGAAAATTAACTGGCAACTATTTTGAGGCAAAATTCACCATTTTCTAGTTTCACCTTCTTAAATTTGAAGAACTGATGCTTTCCTTTGTCATACATGATAGTAAACTGGTATCTTTGGTTGGAAAAAACAAGACCTGTAGACCGTCTTTGAGTCTGGAAAGTCAGAATCAGCACTTTTCCCAGTCTCTGATATTCTTTGAATAAAAAGCTAAATCAAATAATCAAGACCATAATTGTCAGATTAATCTGAGACCCCTGCGTTTTTTTTATTTCTGCACATTTATTCAGGATTTTTCTTTAATTTGTCACCCATCTGTTTCTTGCCAGTGTTCAGAGCAACAGTTTGTGGTTTATTTATTTATAGTGAATAAATGTAAAACCAACATCCTGCTGTCTCTGAGTGAGTGTGTGGGTATATGTTAATTCTCATCCTTGGTTAACTGTGAAAGGAATGTTAACAAACAAAAATAATGCAGCCGTCAGCTAAATTTAGCTTTAAAATTAAACTACCCACACCTTTCAAATTTCTCAGGTTGTATTGAATAACAAGTATTTTAAGCATATTTAAAACCTGTTTTCATATACATTTTGTGTTTGTTGTCTGCCATTCCACTCAATTACAATTTTCTTTAGCCTGAAATGACTTCAGGGTGTCAGGTTTGCCCTGCCTTCTCACTCCCCTCACTGTTTTTGCTCCCTTACCTTGATGACGTTATCCGACACACCTGCTTCTTATCCCCTGATTACCACCAGCTGCACCTGATTAGTTCTCCCTATTTATTCCCTGCTCTACGTTCACTCCCCTGCCAGTTCTTTCTAGTATCTTCAGGTCCGTTTGTTTCCCGTTCTCATTTGCTGTATATTATCTTCACGTTTTGTCGCCCTAGCTCTGTTCCAGTCTTTAGCTCCATTGTTTCATTCCTCCTCGCCTCTGTCGCTTCTCCGGACCACGGACCTCCTCTACCCGGCTCCTTCTCCACCACGCAGGTCGATGCACAGTCTCCTACTAACTGTATGTACAAACTCTGTTCTTCCTCAGTACTTTCCACCACGACCAGCCCAGGAGTGAGTCCCAGCGTCCGCAGCCCGGTCTTCTCCTCATCATTCAGCCACTGACTGTATTCACTTCTGCAGCTCGACACCCGGTCCCACTTCTACCTGATTATTAATTCCCTTGTTATATTTCACTGTAATTAAACTTAGCACTGCTTGCACTGAAGTCAGCCACCTGGGTCCGTCATATTTTTGTGACTCGCTCACCCCTGTGTTCAAACCGGTCTAACACAGGGAGATTAACCTATGATAAATGAAAAACACCCCTCTGTATTTCTCTACTGGGAGAAAGATGGCACCACCAGATATAAGAGTTATGGCTTAGAACTGGTGTATTGATGGACCCTTATAGTTCTCTTCAAGACATTTTCAGCCATTTTCAGCATACGGTTTGTCTCCTAGACACTTGGCAGTATTTTAGACTGAACTGACTCAGTGTCTGTGTGAGCTAATCAATAGGCCAGCTAAAATGAGATATGCAAGTCTGGACATCCCAATGAGAGTATTTCAGATAAAGATTTTTTTTCTCAAAAAAGCCAAACATTTCTTTTAAAGGGTCAAATTGAATGCTGAAAATGCATTTGCAGTGGAATGAAATATTCATAATCTCAGTCTAGAGTTTGGAAATTTTAATTAAAATACTACAGATACAAGTTGTTGATATGATTCAACATTAGCAGAACTGACAAATTGTTGATGCTCGGGATTTATACTAAAAGCTTCATTTTACTTAAACCTCTTTGTTTTTCCAATAAGACAGTTACACAATCACACGCATATCATATACGTATACACAAGTGTAGGTGGATGCATAAAAACTCATGAAGCAAATGCATACAAAGGATGTACACAGCTGGCCACTGTCGGAGGACACTGAGATAATTTTAGGGCGATAAAGACAACTGTGGGGTCTAAGAAGTGGGATCTATGCTTTCATAGGCAGACTAAAAGGCAAGCAATTTTTAGATGGAGGGATGAGATAGGAAAGAAAAAAATGCTGTCAAAATGCTGACATCACATCTTTTAATTCCTCACTGTAATTACCAGGCTATGTATAATTGATTTGACCATTCCAACCACATCCCCTTTACAAAGTACTTTGAGGGAGGGGTGCACATACTTTAATTCATCAGAATGCAGTAATCAATAAAGAGAAGGCACACACACTTTTCAAATCTTGCTTTATATATAATCTCTTGTTCTTTATGTCCTCCCCCTCTTGGTTTTCTTAGATAATGACTAAGTTTATTTTCATCATTCTTCTCACTTCATGAAGTGATGAATTGGGAGCAAGATAACATACGCTGTGGTTATTTACAGGTTGTGTGCACATACAAGTACATGTGTGCATACATGTACTGTATGTAGCTTTCACCTATAAGTTGCAGAAGAAACAGTCAACCTGAGATACCAAATTATGTTTGAATGAGTTTTTATGGACACACATCAGTAACTGGACCAGATTATAAACCTTTAAAATCATACATATGATGTCATTAGGCTCGCTCACCTTTCAGGGTGACCAGGGTGGGGTTCGGCAACAGTGGCAATGTGAGCAGGAACAGAAAATTCACAGCTGACAGACCGCTGTAGCGGAACAAGGAAGCTGAGGTGCAGAGGAAAGAACATAATTTTTCTCTTTGATAGAAATTGTCAAAATGATTTCACCTGTATACAGAGGACACATGGTGACTTGTCTCACTTTAATTTGTGTAATCTATTCTATATATCACAAAATGGTCACAACTCTAAAGAAAACAAATAGCAAATGACCTGTGTAGGCGTAACCTGCCTCTCACCTGTGAATGTGTGAAGCTAATGCAAATACATTCTACATAAAATTACCACAGGTCCACAAAACCATCAGGTGCTGGGTCACAGCATTAAGACTAAACAAGAAATATAAAAAATGAAATATAGAAACATGTACCCAGTGTGAGCTGTTTTTAGTTGACATGACGACACTGTCTTTGTCTTGACGTGGACATAAAATCATTAGTGACAAGGTGAAAATGTCATTTAAACACCATAAAAGAGAGAAAGAAAGTGGCTGTGGAGTACAGAGATCAGAGAGACAGAGGTGCGCATACTGGTAAGAACTGTTTTGCTATGTGCTATGTGTGTTACATGCTTATGTGCTAACAAGGCGTGGCAATACTGTGAAAAGCTGCGTTTGAGTCCTCTATTTTTGTGGTTTGGCTGAGAATTGCCAGACCATTCAAATTTACCTCAGGCAGTTATATAAAGTGTCTCTTTCAGATTGTACAGTACTGCACATATATTCTACATGCTCTTAGTACATGGCATAAAGTATTGAACTTGATGTTTTTAGCACTATATAATTCAACCGATATTTTGTAACCTTTAAATATTTAAAGATCCTGACTACAATCTAAAATAC